CTCTGAATGTCAGAAAGTTGAAGGTTGTGAGATTATGAACCAATTCGTTTTTGTATAGTGCCACCAATGCTGTTTCCAGTGTTATAACTGTAGTAAATGTAAATGATCATGGAGCTTAATATAAGCATGTTCAGCTGTGAAGAATAACACAATCGGGAACTATTTTTTCTTCCCTGAGAAGGCTTGAAAATTAATGCGCCCGTCATTTGATAATCTTTACGCAGTGATCTCCCCTTAATTTTTCGGCGTTAGTGTACTTATAAAGGGAAGCAACCGCTTCCAAGAGTTTGGACTACTTTTGATATTTGCAAATAAGCACATCAGGGTCTGAAATTTCGCTACCATTATTTGTTTGGTCTGACGACCCAAGTGATTTAAGAGATTGGTGGGGTAGATGTTTAAGAAAGGAATAGTAAATTTTATCTCGACCTGCTTCAGTATGTTTTGCTTATTGTTTTTAGGAAACAGCCAAATCTTTAATATATTATATATTTCATTATTAGCTGAAGTAAAATTTATTTGTTCTTTTTCAACTTTAGATCTATGCTGTAAATATTCATTTCAATAATTATAAGAAGAAAAGTTTCCTGGAAATGTTTTTACCCCTTTGTGTTTGTGCATTTGTTACATTTTAGTTGAAAAGTGTTTTTTTTTTTAATTATTTGTTTCATAGTTTGGGGACCTTTCTGTTGAAAATGTAACAGAGATAAATCGTATACATATAAATGCACAGTGCGTTAACTGGAGTGCATGTATTAGTTACCCGCACTCCAGAGCATGCCCGTCGATTGGTTCATTTTATCCGGGGTTTACATATTGTGACGACAGAGAAAGGGATAGCGATGGAAATATCAATATTCAGATGCTCGTTTTGTGGGGTTTCATATTGTGGTATTTATGTTTGACTGTGATACAAAAGAGAAAGAACATCAAAACACTCGGCAATCTGATTTATACTCGGGGGCTACGTTTCGATGCTCTTTCTATTACTTACCGCTTGTTTTTTAACTGCATCTCATACCTTCCTTATAGGGCTTGTAGAATTTCGTTTTTGAACGTCATTTTTACATTCATCATTGGACCAAGGCTTTTTAATTTTGCTTTCCGTACATCCTTTCATTGAACGCATGTTTCCCAATCAGTTTTTTTGTACTGGTCATCCAAAACTGCCCTTTTGGATGATTTTGACAGGTATGTGAAGGGATTTTGCTTTGATTGTTTTCTCCTTGAGATCTTTGGTTTTATATATTTTAAAGCAATAGAAGTATGAGAGTGACGCCCCAACTTTCATCTCTTAAACACCTTAATTATGCTATCGATATGCCCTGTTTTAATTTGGACCAGTATATTCAAAGTTCATTGGATTTTAATATCAGAATACATGTACATATATTGAGATAAAAGGCTATTTTAACTTATTCCATTAACAATAATCATGATAATTATAGTTGCTACGGTAATTGTGCAAGAGATAGTTACTAAGAAAATGATTTATTTTCACAGGAATTAATCTTTTACAGAATATCTACATTCAATCCCATGATATATTTTTCTATATAGTCTTATTAAATGCTTTGGATAGAAGATCCACCGACCTCATTTATGATTGTTCAAAAACTTAATCTCGTTTCTCCAACAGAGTCGTAAAGTTTGGAACTCCTTTGGCAAATAAAATAAGTCACAATAAAAAGACATGCTCATTTGTAAGATATAAACTTTTTTTTGCGTTTTAACATTGAACTTATATAAAAATATTTGTTTATTTTTTAGATTGATATTAGTTGGTAGTCTACTTATACTTGACGCAATAAATCATATTAAAGCCGACTTTTATATCAGAAGATGTTAAAGTTCTAAACCTTGAGCCATTTCATACTTAAATCTTGAGAAAATTGGCTTGTTTGGTTTCGTAATCGGTGATGCACTTTTAAAAGATCCTTTGTTGTTAATCTCATTGTGTTTTGTTTTAGGGTACATTCCTTTTCTTGGGGACCATACGCATTGTCTAGTGGTTTATCTTTTATTTATTTTCATTTTTGAATGCCACAGTTCACTGTGACACTGATCCATTTGTTTGGTCGATGTATTAGTTTCCAACTTTATACATAAAAAACAAATTTTATATAATTACAATTATGAGTCAATTTAGATAATTTTTCTTTCGTTTTTGTGTGTACATTGTACGATTGCAAGTTCACTACAGATTAGATATTGCAGTACTGTCAGAAAACACCATTTGTCGTTGTTTTTTGTTTTGTTTATTTTTGCCTTTAGATAAATAATATGTTTATTTATTTCATTACATTTTATTTTGCGGGCCTTATACTCTGACATTTTAATTTACAAAGTAATAAATTTACACAAACATTTCTTCATATATCAAGAGTGTACCTTTATATAAACAATGTTATTCTAAAAGGTGCGGATGTTGTTTCTTTTTATCAATAATCTCTACTGGCAGACCATTTAATAAACATTTTTTTGGGGATAAAGGAAAATCTGTTTATATTATGTATATAAAAGGCTGCTTTAAATATTGATTTTGACTGTAATTCAACTCATTTTGTTTTTATCTTACCTTACATTGAATACAGTGTTGGTCAAACAGGCCATTCTCTTAAATTTCGATTCCGTAAACTTTTCTATAAATTAGAAATCGAACAAATTTTCTACTTTTTGTATCAGCATTTCCGTACAGTTGATCATTCATCTAAACAAGAGGGCCATGATGGCCCTGAGGTCGCTCACCTGTATATAGGCCCCCAATCCCCCCCCCCCCCCAACGTTGCAGGGCCAATTTAACCCAAGGGCTTTTATTTGCATAAACTTGGTAGACACCCATAAGAAGATGTTTCATGCTAAACATCTAAGCTCTAGCTCATTGGGCTTTTTAAAAGAAGATTTTTTTAAAAGTTTTTACTATACACATATAGTTAAAAACAATGACACCCCTGGGGCCGAGCCAGTTTTGGCCCAATGGCTTTTATTTGAATAAACTTTGTAGTCACTTACTAGAAGATGTTTCATGCTTAATATCTAAACTCTAGGTATTTGGGTTTTTTCAAAGAAGATTTTAAGTTTTTGCTATACACATATAAAGAAAATCAATAACCCCCGGGGCGGGGCCAATTTTGACCCAAGGTCTTTTATTTGAACAAACTTTGTAGACACTCACTGAAAGATGTTTCATGCTTAATATCTTAACTCTAGCTATTTGGGTTTTTTCAAAGAAGATTTTTTTAATTTTTGCAATACACATATAAGGAAAATCAATGACCCCCAGGGCGGTGCCAATTTTGACCCCAGGGCTTTTATTTGAACAAACTTGGTAGACACCTATTAGAACATGTTTGATGCTAAATATCTTAGCCATAGCTCTTTGAGTTCTTTAAAAGAAGATTTTTTTAAGTTTTTACTATATGCATATAGGGAAAATCAATGACCCCCGGGGCGGGGCCAATTTTCACCCCAGGGCTTTTATTTGAACAAACTTGGTAGACACTTATTAGAACATGTTTCATGCTTAATATCTTAGCTCTAACTCTTTTGGTTCTTTAAAAGAAGATTTTTTAAGTTTTGACTATATATGCATATAGGGAAAATCAATGACCCCCTGGGGCGGGGCCAATTTTGACCCCAGGGCTTATATTTAAAAAAATTGGTAGACATTGGGGATGCTGGAGAAGTCTGTCGTTCATACTTTGGTCCAATGATTGACAAGGCACCGTTCAGTGTAACAATCAGTTGTACACAATAAAGCACGCAAAGAGTATAACGGACTTTTAACAATGTGAGAAGTCACATCAGTCGTGTCATGATAAAACCAACATAACGGGTTTGCATCCGTGCATCCGCGCAGTCTGATCAGGATCCATGCTGTTCGCTATCAGTTCTCTTCTGTACTTGTAATAGGGTTTGTAAGCGAACAGCATGGATCCTGATCAGACTGCCCGGATGCGCAGGCTGGTTGCAAACGCACTATATTGGTTTTATTATGTGGTTTACGTAATCAAGCACAATAAGCTACCATGATACACTCTTTTCATCCGCATTCAAATACCATTTATAGTCTGGGTATTTTGAAAATTATATTTTATAATTTCCCTGTAAAGTTATCAAAATATATTTTCACTGTCCACTGAAAAGCATGTTATTATATGAAATTTTATGGTATAATAGTCCTTCCATCGAAGACCAGTTACCTTTATTTTTTATTACGAATGCCGCATTGTAAATAAGGTTTAAAATCAGTATATGTCTTACCTCCTGTAAGTAAAATTATTATTATTATTATTTATAGCAATTAAAATGAGGAAAAATCTAATCACTAAAAGCAGTATTAACATTAAAGACAAAATACTATCTAAAAAAGATATATATATAAATATTTTATTGGCAGAAACAAATACATCTTCATCGCCAAGTTACCGTGGTGGGTACAACATATTTACATTTACAAAAGAAAAATATGGTACATGTATACTGTTTACAAAACTAAGACAAAAAATATCAAAATGCCAATTTAATTTAGGTCACATAAGTATATACAGAATGTAATGATATGGAAAACAAACACTTATATAAAGTAAACTGTTTGAGCAACAATTCTTTTCTTTTGCGATGATTGCATAATTGAAATTAATTTATTAATGATTGGCCAAGCACAACATACCGAGGTAAACATTGACTTTTCAATTCACAATGGACAAATTAGTATTCATTTTCTATATTTTGTTCATATACGCGAATTTCTTCTATTAACAATTAATGTGACGAACATTTAAATCTTGAAAAAGCTCTACGATGATTAATATTATTTACTATATCTAAGGATCTTTCTTGGATAAAGTTAAATTTAAATAAATCTTAACTACATAATTTAGGAAAACTACTAAACTCAGAACACCACTGTTGTAATTGTTGATCATAATTTTTTTACAATAGAATATTTCAGAGTATTTTTAAATCGCAGGATCTTTTGAATGGCATTTTGTTGTTCATTCATCATTGTCCTCCCAGTTTCAAACCTGAAACAAAAATATTAAAAGCTTGGTTTTATCAACAAAATATATAATATTATGATTTAAACGTTTAAAATGACATTATTCTAATTCAAGTGTAAATTGTGAGTGCACAGGTGAAACTCAAAATAACTTTGCATTTTGACACAATAGTGTTCAAGCGAATATTTAACTACGCAAATTTAATAATTGGTGATTGACCCACGGAAATTTCTAAAAATGTATTCGTAGCATTCAATTTTTTAAAAAAAGAATGAGACAGTCTTTTTAGGTACCATTCACAACATAGCCAACTAGTGCCTGATTGTATGATGTAATATACAATAAACTGTATCAAAAATAAACACATAAATAGAACAGTTAAAAGCAAACCTGTGACATCTTTAATCCACCCTCTATAATCAGCCACAGAGGTCAACACGGACGGGATAAGGTCATGATAGCAGGTTCCGTACCCAAAACTCACGATACCAAATAATTCCCACCGACCACTGTCCGCCTTACAAACAAGAGGCCCGCCGGAATCTCCCTAACCGAAATAAAACGTATTTTAGTGGTTATTCTGTTGAAACGATTATGTCAATAAATTACATATACATGTATATATGTTTGAGACGTTTTTTGTTTAAGTGTAACAAACGAAAACTAAACCCGTATAGCGGAACGAATATCAGTTAAAAATATTCTAAAACAGGTATCATATTCTGTCAATGTGAATTAAGTGTAAAGTTTTTTTACACTGAACATGAGACCTTAGTCTTTTTAGGAAAAAAAATAACAATTTTTCTTCTCTTCTTCAAAGTAAATATGCCAGTATCGTTTTATCTGGATCACCCCTCTTATAGAGAAAAACAGAATTCCTAAAGAAAGCCAACACGACAACACTGAAAATACACTGAACAGGAAGCCGTAGTAGTTAAAAAAATACACAAAAAACTTTGTTATGTTTCTTTTTGTATTTGCTAATGAACTAAATGGATTAATGCACATGGATTTAAAAACTTTGGTGAACAACTAGTGTACGTGTATGTTTTCACCTTTATTTGACCTTTAAATCATAATGGGTTTCCTCGGCTTTGATATAAGAAAACATTCCATCCAAAGTTAAAAGGTATTTCAAAATGTAAGCTGCCAAGCTTTGAGTCTGGCTAGAGTACACATATGCTTCCGGTTATTTCCTTTTCATGTTGTCGACTTGTATATAAGCTTTTTACCATACGCGTCATTGTGTTATTTAAACTTTTTCAAATTTGAATCGCCAAATTCTCCTCCAATAAAAAAACAGGGAGTTATATACAAGGGAATTTCTAAATTGATGATAAATTCCGTGTCAGGGTCTTTTAAAGCAGAAAAGTGAAATGTAAAGTTGTACTTACAAAACACAAGGGAGAGCTGGGTGCCTCTGTTCCAACACACACAACATTTTCTGGGAAAAGTTCTTTATATTGATCTATAAGATTATAGGTCCAGCTTTCCTTACAGTAGTCCTTGGATAGAATAAGAACCTGTTTCTGTTGTAAAACATCTGAGAGAATATCGCCAGAGGTAGGATCTGTAAAGTGTATTAAAAAAAGGTTTATCTAGATGGACACAACGCTTAAATAAATGATAAAATAAAAGCTTTGAAAGCAGTACTATCAGACATTTTCATATTTATGAATTATCATTGGAAGCAGCAATGACTAATAATGTACAGTCTGACATACAAAGAAAAAGGCATATGGTGTATACAAATCCAAGTTTACCTGCAAATACTTTATCTGTTGTACCTTGACCAATCACAAAACATTCAGCAAGAGGTCCCTGTGTTCTAATAGTTTGAAGAGAAGCAGGAGTTGGTAGACAGACAGGCCTTGTAAAGTTGTTAATTTGTGCAGGATATTTCAATCGGAGTAAAGTAATGTCATTTATAAGCCAAGGTGACGATATGTAATCGTTTCCTGAAAAATTCGTTGGTTTTTTAACTCAATATTTGATTCAAATGTATCATTACAAACTTTATTTCGTATAATATTTTTCAGTTTTTTGATAATAATGAAGCAACGAAAACGACTTATTTAAGTACTTTTTATAATTACATTGTCCTTTATACATGTGCAGAGTGAACAATACGAAACTAAACCAAGAACAGTCAATTCAAATGGGTAAATCACATGATCAAAAACATTATAATTAACCGAGTAATGGAAATGTTTCAAAATGCTACTCATGTCAAAAAGTCATGTCAACATTAAAATAAATTCTATAAATACAAAGTCATGTAAACGTTAAAATGCTATAAATAACAGACCATAGAAATATAAATTAGATGTTATGCTTACCTATTATTTCCTCCACTTCAATTTCTTGATGCCATTTGTCATCGGAATTTCGGGAATTTATACCAAAGCTCACAGTGTAAACGACATAAAAGGAATAACTAAAAGTAAAGCAGAACCGTATGTCATTATGTAAAAAAAGAACTACTTATTATAAAGTCGTCATTAGTGCATTTTGTTTTGAATTAATCTGCCAGCCATTTTTGAAGCCAAATCATGTTATAAATTTATTCAATATTGCAGCAGATATTTAATGTATCAAGGTTTGTGTACTGTCTTTTTTATTTCTTGGCAAACGTTTACTTTCCATGTACTGGGACACACTAACCCACACTGTTGCAATGATGGCATTATCGTACTATAAAAAACTGTATACACCAAAAGCGCATACAGATTTGAAATATTGCACGTCAATATTTTTTAATATTTACCTTCTGATGCAATGAGACGCTGTTATAGCCCAGTTTGAATCAATAAGGGACGCCCCACATAGGAATGTTCCATTTACGCGGAGTACTCCATACCAGGGCCACTCCTCGATGGTTGTATCCCTCCCATTTATGATAAATGGTTGAATTAAACTGTCCTGTATTGCAGTCGTGCCACACTCTATAATCAATTATCATAATTACTCAATATATCTACAAAATACCTCTGTTAATTTGTAAATAAGTTTACAAACAAACAAAAAGTTATCAAAATTGCTTACTTTTTTCACTCTATGCAAATGTAACAGATTTCCTCTCATGACAAGTCAGAACATACTGCAAAGTTTAGCTTTATTCCAAAGGCTTAACTGTGGGTAAGTTAAACAACTGTTTGAAGATTTAACTTATTTATTTAAAAAGGCCTTGCATTCAGCGAATACCATATATAGATAAATAATTCATTTGGAATTTTATCTGAACCATACAATATGGCCTGAATTATGGTCTTAAAATAACATAATGTTTCTCTAACAATTTACAAGAAATTATTACAGTTACAAGAAATTATTTATTTTAAAAAATCCGAAATATCTATAAGTGAGCTTAAAATACCTGGCGTATGACACTTCAGTCTAAGAGGGAAGCAAATTCTGTAAAGAACAAAGGGCAAAACAGATTATTTTAGACAAAGAAATGTATTCATTATAAAAATGTTTCGTTCATATAAAATAAAACTTTGCTTAAAAAACCAAAAAAACCATTGATTGTTGTTTGCGATCTTCGGTTACAAGCTCAACAAATACAATATGCAACTTGCTAGTAAATATGCATAATAAAATCTTATTACTGAAAACATGATTGCTAATTAATGTCTTACGTCATTGTTTCTAACGTGACTGGATTCCTGCCATTTTCGATGCGTTCAAATCCCTTTTTTATTTCTGTTACGTCCCTGAAATAACGGCAAATAATATCATATATAACATAATCTTTACAAATAAAACATGAATTACATTACTACCCTTATCCTTTGTATTTAAAACAGAAGTATGCAAAAACTAAGTTATAAAAACTGATTCAAGAAGGTAAAAGTAACCAGGCATAATTCGACTGATTAAAAAGTCATGAAATGCGAAGGTAACAATAAGCATTTGCGCATTTCATTTCTATATGTATATGTTGTTTTTCCGTTGATAAGCACACGCTACAACAGCGGAACATACAGCGGGACTCAACAAAGGTTTCACACGAAAAGCATTGATGCAAAGCATCAAAGGGCGTCCACACAAGAAATGCAGCAAGTGAAGATGAACTAGAAGACATCAGGATCCGGTTGTTCAAAACATTGGTTAGTGTTAACCAGTTAAACAGTCATAACTTTCTTATTTTTTAATAAAATATACAAGTGTCAGTACTCATTTTATTAGTTAGAACATTACCCATCTAATGGAAGTAATTTCAATTCAAAATTTGGAAAAAAATTGTTTTTGAATTTTTTACCTATGTGTGTCTAAGGGAAAAATAGATCTATCGATACTTTTAGGCCTTTAATATACTTTTGCTTTATTCCAAAAACATGAAAGCACAAAACATTCAAAATTAAGTCTTTGGGAGCTTCCTGACTATTAGAAGATTATTACTCATCAATAAATCAGCCATTTTGTTTCCAGAATCACTAACCAGCCCTGTTGCATTGTGGTACTTAACCAGTGGATAAATACGCTATCCACTGGTTAGGTAGCCAGGGTACTATCCAACTGTCGAACAATGAAATTTTATCCACTGGATAGCTGGCCGCTGGTTAAGGTTTTAACCAGTGGATAAGCTATCCATTGGTTAATTCTAATCAATGTTTTGAACAACCCGGTCCTGATGGCCAGATATTCTTATAAACTTTTCAATGGTTAATCGATTTTTACCAAAATTGTTTGAAAGACATTGTTTATCATGAACTTTGGTAGGCATGCTAGAGATTAGAATTTTTTTTCCACAGGACCTTGAAATTCTATCAATATTAACGATAATATCCAAAGTGCAATTAGTTGTTTGAATATGTTTCATTTTTCATATTTCATTTCCTGCAAAATTCTCCAGTTCGTTATTTATCACCATAGCGCTACACGAATGACCGTTTCGTTAAACTAAAACTACTTCTATAAATAGATTTTCGGACTTACACAATGTTAAGGTCATCATTCTATTTATAGGTACAGCAATACACAATAACCCACTATGTGTACTACAAAATGATTAATAAAAAAAAACCCGAAGAGCGCGATTAATTGACGGATAGGATTATTTCATTTGAATATGCTTGCATTGCGAACTTCTCCAGTTCGCTATTCATTGTTCGCGACAATACATTTTGATAATCAAACACACTCATATCAATCGGAATGATCGGCTATTATGACCGACGAAAAGGCCCGAGAAGTTGCTGCCGCCCTTTCACAAAATCTGATTTCATTTCATAAGGGGCGTCGCGCCTAGGCGCGGACGCCAATAAATACTAATGTGGGTGTTTATCAACGTTCAGTTGTGTTACCAGTCATATTTCTAACGCTAAATGTTGTAGAAGTCAGAAGTAGGACACTGACTGTTGGGGGAGGGGTAGATTTGGATGTTAATCATATAAAATCAACATTGCTATTAATGACCGTAGTCAATCATACCAGACCTACAAATTTTCATTCATGCTGTCATTATTTGTTTTTTTTATGAATTACTTTGCTAAAACTGAGACACATGAATGAATTATTGTTTACTACAACAATATCGACTTTGTTTCACACAAAAATAACACACACACAAATGCTATCAAGCGTTCTTGTTGCACGTTTTATCTTTTTTGACATAAAGAACAAAATAAAAATTATTAAAGTAAATAATCATACCCTTTCCCTGCCTGTTGACAAAGCAAATTCGCGTGTTCTAATGTTATGTCATCAACACAGAATATTTCTCGGCTTAAAGTCGTGTTCATGAACATCGATACCTCAAAATCATCATCTATCTGAACTATTTAATCAAAAAAAAGAAAAACCAATTACAAGATAAATAAATAAATAAATAAATAAAAAATCTCTCACTTAAATAAAACGTATAGGAATGATAGATTTGACTTCTTTTGAAACAGGTTGAAAAGCTGGACAATCCAATCTTGATATGATACAGACCACTGTTTTGTTGTTTTATTTTTCGTTAATAACTCAAGATAAATAACATGAATATAACTTTAAATCAAATTAATCACTCAAAGTTTTTTTTGTGATTACCAACAAAATAATTTTTAACAATATTTGACATTTTTTGGCGATTAAGAAACTAAAGTGGAAATAACAGTTGTCTACCGTGTGTACTTAACAAAGCTGTCAATTTGTCGTATTTTTTCTATAAGTAAAATTAAACTTACCACAACGATATTCGTCAGAGGCGTCCCCACAATCTCGCTTACCATCACATCTTAAACTGAGACTTATACATTCGTGATTGAAACACTCAAACATTCCTCTCTCCTTACAGGTTTCTAGTAAAATAGTTAAATTACCTTTAGAAAACGAGAACAAAGACCAACAAGGCAAGGCGACGTTCACAGAACGCAGCCCCCGACACAATGGAGCCAAATTTCTAAGTAATAAATTACTGAGTAGTTATAAACTTTTCTAGTCCTTCGGAATCCTTGATTCTAATACTTATAGTGTAAAAAAATTGAAATCTGCCTGGTATAATGAGAACGTTATTTTTTTTAAACGGAGAGCAACAACAACTCGATTCTGTAAGACATGTTATTTGAATGCTGAACATTGCTCGTTTGCCTAAAACAATATTAAATGAATATTTTTGTCTAATTCATTAAGAATATAAAAAAGAAATTGATAAAGCTAATTAAATGCGTCTCTGAATCGTTGTAGTAATGAAACAATTATTTACATGATTGTACAACATAACAAATTTCTAAAACGTCGAGTTTATCACATAAAACGTGCAGTCAATATGAATTTGTGTCGCAACTATAACATACGTTTTCCTTTCAAGACCTATATAGTCAATATAGTCACAAAAACTGTGTAAATTCAAATAAAAACAAATGAAAAAGAAAACGTGTTTTATTTAAATAAATACATAACGTTACAAAAGCATATAGACTGTTTATAACAACTGTGAGATTACTAAGTCGATTTTCATACAGTTGATAAAAAGTATCGGAAGATCAACAAGAAAGAGAAAGAGCGATATTCACTAAACAAAGCCCCAACAGTACTCAAGTATGCAAGGACCATCGGTTTAAAACACTAAGCAGGGCGACAAACAAAAATGAGGGCATAAAGGTACCAAACAATTGAATAAATTTAGTAAGCAAATAAGTTCATACCACAAGATGTTTCATCGTTGCACTCGCCTTTGGTATGTTTACATTGTATTTCATCCTCAAAGCAATCTGGAAAGAAAGTACCAAGATATAAACATTATCTATTTGCAAATCGCCGTCAAGCAATACATATTTGATTGACCACAGAAAATATCCATGATTACATCAGGACATACAATGGCCAAGATTTAAAAAATGAACATTTTTGTTAAACTATAGAATACCTTTGTTTAACACAAATTTAAGTATCATTTTTCGCTAACCTTGAAATAATAGATTTATAATCAATGAAATAGAAGTTGAGATAGATCTATAGTTTAATTACCAAGATATGATTTTATACTCACAGCATTGTTCTTCGTCTGCATTATTTGGACAATCTTGTTGACCATCACACATATACGACCTCGGAACGCATGTGGATCTTGTCCCTGGACACACAACTTCATTGTCAAAACACACTGAAAATATATCATTTAAAAAATAACCCTGACATAATGTGATATTATAAAATAGTATCAAAATCCTATTGAATTTCATTTTTCTTTCTTTCTTTTAAAAAAAAAATGAAAAAAAACGATGTTTTAATTTGAATAAATATAAGAAATATTTTTCCCAATGCATTCAGAAAATAATATCAAAGTAATGGAACATACAAATACAAAAACAATATTGACATTTAACTATGATAATTTCATTACAAGATTGCTATTTCATACCTTCGTTTGAACACCTTACATAGGCATATCTGTCACGTTTCTGTCGTGATATTAACCTGGCATTCGTTGTCTTCTGCACAAGAAAGCTGGACGTTTATTGGACTAAATCTACCCCACAGTTTGTATTCAAACAGATCTGAGTTGCCGCTTAATTGTAAAAAATATCAATTTTTCTAAAATTAAAGGCTGTTTGAGAGGATGAAATTACTGTATTTCTTTCTTGCAACACGTTTCTAAATTTCTATGCATTTTAATGTTTTCTTGGTTGATTTGCAAATTAAAATTGTCATAATGTTATTCAATTACTTTTTGCACTTATAATATCATCTTTTCCATATTAGAATAGCTTTTTACAACATATTGTTTTAAAAGTTTATTTAAATCTGCAAAATAAACAATCTGAAATTGTGATTTTTTAGCTTTAGACAAAGCAAGCTTTTATCATAAAAATACTGATAGTAATAAACTTTGAAATTGCACAAATTGACAATGTTCATAATATATATTACAAGCAAGAACAACAAAAACAACTAACATGAACCCTAGTTCTCTGCAGACGTGAAATGCAGTATTGACATCATTTAGGTTTTGTTCGTCTGCTATGACGTCATCTGATTTTTGGTAGCAGACAGGTCTCCATGCACCGTTATAGAAATACGCAAGTTTCCCGTAAGATTTATCGCCGTCAAGAAGTTTATAACTACCATTTGGTCGATCTAAATTTACCATGAAAATGAATAAGAATATATTTAAATCAATAAAATAAAGCTTAAATAAATTTGTTGTAAACAAATCAAGTATACATGTACAGTATTTAAGTAACGTTGGATACGGGCATAATAAAGTGTTTCATAACACTGTTTGTTTCATAACATAAGATGAAATAATAAATGCTTTAAATAACAAATACAAAAAAATGACTTTCAACCATATATATGTACACGTACAGACTGGACCGATATCAGACAAACAATTTACTTACTCTTATAGCGGCTTATGAAAGATTTATTAGACGCTTTATCAATAAATAATATATTTTTACAGAATACTAAAATAAAAACAGATGGTAATTTAAAAATATATGTTAGACACTGCCTCACCACAAAAACTTTCATCAGTGCCATCCTGACAATCTGTCTCTCCGTCACACACAAAACTTTCCGGGATACATATCTGGTCCATTGTGCACTGGTACATCTTTGCATCGCACTCTATAAGTAATTATTAGAACCAATCAATCGATCGTTCAATCAATATCCGAAGTTTTACAAACAAAATAAGTAAGACATTGCCGCTGGGGTTGCGTTCATTGAACGCCGCCTTTCCTTGTTGATCTTGTTATCATATTTGATTGAGAAGTAAGCCAACATCTCTTATTTTACAACAATATTTTATCAAGCAAACATTTTATGACATTCATACGTTGATATTTATCATCATCACCTTCTATAAATTTTGTTAATATATTACTCTTTAAAACATGTTAGCCGTAACAACAAAATTTGAACGCAGTACTTCGATTCCATTCTGTATCTGTGTAACAATTCTTATTGATCAAAACCATTCCATTTTTGAAGTGTTTGATTATGCCCAAACGCATGCTTTATTTCATCCGAAAAAAAACCAACTGCTACTTTAAATACCGAAATAAATTGCATTCTTTTTGTAAAAAAAAACCTATGTAAGGATTATCAATTGTTGATTTCCATATTGTAAGATGAACGAACATGTAAGATAAGAGTATGTCTAAAGTCCCATAATAATAAACAAGGTATACAAGATGGAGTAGGTGAAAGCTAAATAATTGTATTTAGAAAATAAACATTTTTCTGGCCTTGAGGTACTTAAAAACCCAAATATTATTTCAAAATTTACCTATTTTATCAACATTACAATCTCCAGGGGAATAACTAACATCATCAAGGGAAACAACTCCGGGAAAACTATCATAAGGTATAGACGTCTTTGCCGTCACTATCAGTTTTGCAGACTTTCTTCCGTACACCTTGGCACCGCCTTGCATCCACGAAGCAAAAGGACGATTGATATGGTCAAACCTATTCATTATTCAGTTAAATCAGTTTGTTTTAAATATATTGACCGTTTTATTTGTTTTATTTTATTTAAATATTCACATGTACTTTATCATATATGTACAAGCCATTAATATTATATTGGTAGAAAACTCTTTATCTAGTTTTGAAACTAATTTTGTGCAGAATTTTGATATTCTAGTGATAGAAACTTCTTTATCTAAATATCTTCCCTAAACCTAAATATATCATAAATATATGTATAAATAACTTTTATATTGTACTGATATTGTTCTTAATATATACAAAATTTTTATATTGTACTGATATTGTTCTAAATATATACAGGACTTTTATATAGGAAGCTCTTTAACAAATAATAAAAACTTAGGTAAAGATAATATGGGACAAATAAATGGTCATATAAAAATAAAATTAAAATGAATGCAGTACATATAAGTTAACATGATTTACCCTAAATGTGCTGGAATTAACAGTGTTTAGCCTTTGTAAAAAAAGGGAGCCAAGCCAACGTTCACTTACGTGCAGTCTGGTGTGACAGCCTCTTAACTATTGTAAGTTGTAATTTTTGTTATTCGTTATTGAATTAACTTTAATGTTGATTCAATACAGTTAAATCTATTTTACAAATGTAGTAGGTACATGGTTAAATATTTGTTTTTATATACCAAACTAGAGATTTCTCTTCTTCATCCTCATATTGTAAATACACAAATATCTGGGCTGATGTAGTCTTGGGTTGATGTGCTGTAGTGTTGAGATAATACCAGAATGTAATGCAGCCATCATCGTCAAATGTTTGAAAAGGTGATTCAATAGTTTCTACATCCACGTACCGAGAAATATCAGCCAAACCTTCAAAATTCTTTGAGGTCACAAAATGTCCTGGAAATATTAGAGAGGATATAACAGAAGTTATAACTTTTGATTAGGAGATATGTAATGGGAATAATGTTAAGTATAGTATCATATAATTTTTTTAGCCTTTGCATTGTAAGCTATTGGTGGCAAAAGGCCAGACAATTTGAGGAAACGGTGCATACTAATTCAAGAACAACCTATACAGCAATATGTGATGATATTTCTTATATTTGAATTTGTAAGTTGGTTCAAAATAGCAGTAAGTAAGTATATTCACAGTTATAAGAAAATAGATAAGATTAAACTGATACCAGGATAGGCGTAAACAGTTTTGAATGAACCAACAGATCAAAACTTGCCTTTTAATTCTGAAAAGGGGAGAAAAAGGATGAAATAATTTATCAATTTGATTATTAAAATTTACCTTTCCCAGATTTCTGAAACGTGTGGTCAATAGTTGGTCTGGATATACTAGAACTCTCAATACGTTCCCAGACGGTTTGCAAAAACCCACCTCCCCTACGATAATCCAAGTATGTTCTCCTCGGAGTAATATCAGAATAACCACAAATAGTTGGTTTCTCAAAACCGCAAACTATTCCGTTATCTGAAAAAATATACAAGTAGTTGTGGTACGAGAATTTTTCAAGACAACCACCCCAGACTAGTTTACCTTTAACCTCCCGAATTTCTTCTTTCTGCAAATTTCCATGAAGATTTTGAAAATGCGTAAAAGTAAAATACATGAATTGTGAAGTGAATGAAGAGAATTCATAACATTGCACATGGCGCATACAATCCGCGTAAATTACTTAACGGAAGTCGAAATATTATAAAATAGCTCTTACAGCGTTTATCATACAGTAGCAATACGGTGATAAATACTGCAATATCAGTCACTAATCGCACATCATTTTTAGATAATTACTTGAACCGTTTTATTTTTCTCAAAATCTTAGTACATTTTTCTAAAGTTTGATTTTCCTTATATTAGTTTTGCTCATCTGGAGGCATGCAGCTTTGAGAATTTACAACGGCAAAATTGTAAAAATGTTGCAGACTCGCTTTAATTGGTGGTACTGGTAAGTAGACTACCGTCCACGCCCCTAGCACCAGCTTAAGTAAACTATTTACCACAATCATTCGCTTCATCAGATCCGTCAAAACAATCATCATTTGCATCACATTTCTCCTCAATATTGTAACAAGAACGTCTGTCTTCACATAATGTGTCATTAACTGCCAGGCACTCTAAAAAAACATTGATAATTATAATTTATATGCTATTTGTTGGACTTTCTCACCAATTTTTATATACCTTTTAAACAAAACAGGCTTTAGCTTGAATGCATCCTTAACAAAAACAAATCACTCATCTGAAGTCGGAATAGATAACTGAGAAATATATTTTTGAAACAAACATGAGCATATGTGTTCGAGTAAGGTATCCTCAAAATGGTCAGAAAACACCGAAATGCAGCGAAAAAGGCACAATACATAAGTAAACTGAAAGCTTAAAGTAACTTTAGTCTTATTGCGTCTTATTGAAGGAAAATAATGGCACATTTAAAGGGTATAAAGCTTTAAATTATGAAATATTTTCTTGAAATTTTTCAACAGTAATTTTAAATTGGTCCCTTAATCTTATGATCGATTCTCAAAAAAGTTGCAACGTAGAATGTCTCTAATATTTAACGGACAGTTATTTAAAAGACTTGCGCAAACATGTTTCGGAACACAAAAAATGCTATTTTAAGAAGGGTTTTATCCGATAAGCAATGTGTTTATGCATGCGCCATTCGCTTTTTAGGCAGTTTACTACCATACTTGTTTCATACAAAATTTGGGGAGTATTTATTTTCAAATCAAACAATATTTTTTGCAGCAGACATATAGCTTTTTACACTTTAATAATAACAGATTAACAAACAAAAAAGAACTTAATGTTAAGGTTAAATACTTTAAAAGATTCAAATGGTTGGAACAAATTATGACTTGCCTACTGGGACTTCATCACATGATGTCCCGGCATGCATTGTAATTTGCTGTACAGCAAATATCGAGGAGTCCGGAATGTCTTTAAGATTTGGTTGAATTTCAAACATATAAATAAACAACATCACTCGAACATCTCCACTTGAAACTGGTACCTAAATTTAAACAATACAGCAAAAATAGCCAACTCAAAAAACTCGTTTAGTAAAAGTTCATTCAACAATATTTCAAGCAGTAAACTTTCCCCGAATAAATTAACATAAAGAAATCCTTAAAGATGCATCCAAAATCAAAAGTATCTAATTCAAAATCACATTTGCTATTTGAATCATGCAATAGATATAATTATTTTGAAATCATACTTTTAATAAAGAAATCTTAGAAAATTACTCACAGATACATGTCGAATATCTGTAGAAGGTTTTATGTCAAAACGAACATCAGTTTCTTTTTCAGTTTCTGTTTCATAAATCAGATGTATCTCTCCATATGCGACATCGCCAAGGTAGTTAATTTGAAGACACGAGTCATTTTCAAGATGATACTCGAAAGATTCCAGAACTGCTGGACGTGCCAGAGGGGTTGGAAATCGTGCTACCAGAAACGCTGAAAAACAAGGTATGTGGAAGGTAAAGGGAATGTTTTGCGGCAAGGATAATTCTACTGAAGCGTTTACAGCTATTAAAGTCGCATTTACAGAATGTTGACGGAGTGGTATTGTTTTTATTTGTTTGGGTCGTCAGACCAAACAAATAATGGTAGTGAAATTTCAGACCCTGATACGATTATTTGCAAAAACCGAAAGTAGACCGAACTCCTCGAAGCGGTTACTTCCCTTTAAAAGTACATTCACGCCAAAAAATTAAGGGGAGATCAATGCGTAAAGATTGTCAAATGGCAGGCGCATTAATTTTCAAGCCTTCACGGGGAAGAAATAATAGTTCCCGATTGATCGAAGATTTCTAATATTGTGTAATTCTTTACAGATAAACATGCTAATATTAAGCTCCATGATTATTTACATCAGTGTTAAACAACAGGTTTACCGTGAACAAAATATCTCGAAATTAATAAGGGTTACAAATTCTAATTTAGAATTACGTTGTTTTCTTCAAAATTCATTAATACCCATTTTTAAACTTAAGGATTTTATGAAGCTTTTGATATAGTTAATGCCACTATTAACATTCATTTGTTGATTATAATATAGTAAACCTGTATTATTTTCATTGCTGTCAGACAACAGGAAAAATAATATATACAGTTTTAATAGTACTCACGTGTGTTGAAGATTCTTGTTTTTCCATCAACTGTTAAATCAAAATTGTTTTCGAGAGCCCATAGCAAATACGACGATTCTGATGTTTTGAAGCCTGTGGATTCTAAACTTAACTCTTTTGTAAAGTTTGTTGAGAATTTGAAACCTTAAAGTCAAATGTTAAAAAATGAATGAATTAATTTATATATTGATCGATTATAAACATTTACTTAAAAATCGTACGTTTACTTAGTATCAATAAGTTATAGATGTAAAATATATGTAATGAAATATATTCAGTAGTTTTTGTCGGATACATACAATAATTAGCTTTGACGAGAGGAAACAAACATCAGAAAAAAGTGTGATATTTTTTTTTAAAATTCTGTCAGCAAATAATGATTCATAAATGCTAGAAACTTTAGTTGAATTTTAACAATCAATAAAAAAAATCTGGATAAATCTTTAAACATATAATTTTACCTACCACATAGATTTTCACTTTCGTCGGCTCCGTCGGAACAATCCACGTATTTGTCACACTTGCGGTCGTTAGATAAACATTTGTCACCACAGACAAATGCATTGCAATCTGAGGTCAAGAAGAACATATAAATGAACACTTTGTTATAACCATGCGTTTTTTAAATTATTTTACATAATTATAAAATCAATGCACTTTTTTGGTTGGGTTTAAAATCGCACTGATACTAGTTTAGGATATAAGGCGATTCTTAGCTCTCTTGGTGGAGAGGGCCTTATGTACCCGATCCATGCATTTTCTTGGGCTCAAGGGATAACCTGAGTAGAACCATCACTCTTATGCAACTAGAGTACTTTCGGATTCGTAGTATTTTACAAAAATACTATTATCATATAAAATTATAATATCTTAATATTAGGAATTTGAAAATTATAAGACAATTAAAAGATATTGTATGTAATTCAACAGACTTTTACCCGACCACTGACAATAAAATTATTTGCAAAGTAATGTAACTGGAACAAAATACACACAGTGCTCAATACAATTGTCAAACATATTTCATCAATTCTGAAAGCATTGGAACATTCAAGAAAAGTTTGTTTTGTCAATTTGAAGGCTAGTATATCATTTATTTATACATGTATAATCTATATAATAAAATGCATTTGATTTATTAATGCATCATAGCAGGCAGTATTTATTTTAAATCTAAACCTGATAATTCTTGGCATATTCCTTCTCGAACATTTGTTTCAAACAACTTGTACAACCCTTTTCCTCTGCCCTCAAAGTGCAAATTTGTGACACCTGCCTCGAGAGTGATCTGCACAGAACTCTCAATAGGTTTAAGAAGTCCATCTATCTTCCAAACTTTTTGTCCATTTCGGTACAACACTAATTCTGTTTGCTCGTCAAAGGAATCGACTGATATGACTGAATAAACAAAACGGAAACAAGAAGGCATTGAAACTAATACAGTCGGTGATCGCACTACACCTGGTCCAATAAATGTCAAACCACCTTCAAAGTTCACATGTTCTGTTGGTACATTGTAACTGCACTTTCCTCCCGTCCTAAAATCACATGATAAGGATGGACCTAGAAATAGAAATAAAACTGTCATCAATTATTTATATTAGTTTATTCAATAGATATAGTGTAACAAGTAAAGGCTATTACGTAGATAAAATTATTTAACTAAAATGTTTTTTACTGGAAATGAGTGACATGAAAATAATCACATTTCATCCACATAATTTAAGATATAAAATAAAAATGCGTTTGAGATTTTTCATTTTTTCTCCCGTTTAAAATCAAGCATCTTGCACAATGAATCTTTATGAATTGTTTTCGTTTCCTGTTTTCCTATATTATTTATGGGATATCATCAGTTTAATCCATATAACATGTAACTTACAAATACTTAACGTATCAAAAAAAACCTATTGTATTTTCCTACTTTGTAAAACTAATCAAAAGAGAAAAAATACATAAAGAATATATTTATATAGATTTTTTTTTAATTTGAAAAAAGAATTTGTTACATGGTATGGATATTTCCTCTCAATTTTGTATGGATAATTTTAAAGTCAAACTGGAGTTCACGCTATTGCTCTAAAAATTTACATTTCTATGTAAGTCAAATATTTTATAAACAATTCTAAATGTATAATCCAATAACATTACAGTGTATATCATGATTTAAATCTGATAGTCTATAACACTATTGAATACAATACTGAATTTTATTGCATATTCCAAGTATACACTCGTCATTCTTATATTGGACGAGGCTCAATCCAAGTCTAATATAGGTTTTACAGCTGCGTACGAGTCCAATAAAATAGGATTGGATCCAATCTTTATTTCTAGTGGAACATTACGTGGTTAAAACGCTGAAGGTTCATTGGTTATATTTTAAAATATGTAAAATAAACGTTTTATAACTTGGAAATTAATTTTAGTAATCCCATTCACTAGTTTCACTGTTATCAAAATGTTTAAAATTAAACCAACACCATGAAATAATCTTATCCCATCCAATTACAAAAGAAACTAACAAGTGTTGAGTATTTTTATGTACATAATGTAAGTAGATCTACTTAAAAATGAATCTTACAAGGTTAATTACCTTTACAGTTACTGGTATCAACAAGTTTCACGTTATCAATTGCTAATAGCTCGAAATCTTTATCTCCATTTTCAATTCCTATTGCAATATCCCCGCTGAATTCTTCGGAAAGCTCATAACAATCTGTCAACATCCAGCTATCGTCTGCTATGATCGGAACCGTCTGCTGACTTTGTCCAGCAATATGCACGTATAAAGATGTGGATTTCCCGCCCATTGAAAGGAGCGAGAATTGCAATGCCGACTTTGTTGTAGCAGAAACTTTGAATACTAATTGATCCGGAATAGAACCACTTAATATTGTGCTTGGTTTGATAAAATAGAAATAGCCTACAAAATGAAGGGATAAAATGAAAGGGATAATAATGAATAAGATAACATTTTAAACAAGAAAAAGAAACTAAACAACAACAAAAAAGCAACAACATCAACAACAACAATAAATACACACACAAGCAGGAAACAAAGCTAAGTACTATAACACCATAATAAGCGTGTATTTAAGGCGCAATATTGGTCTTTTCTTAAATAGTGATATACTGAAAATGACAAAAATATAGGAATCATAGTCCTGAATTACGAAACCAGACGAAAAAAGCTTCTTTTTTTCAATTATACACGATCACGGTATGTGCTTTACTATTTATAAGAGTACGTTATTATGAAACACATATTATTACCATTGTTTCTAAAATCAGCATCATGTTTAATGACGTTATGAAGATTCATCGGCGTTCCTTGCTTCCATGACGTCATCATATCCGTTGTAAGACCGCAAAGGCTTGGATTGTCAAATGAACAATAATCAACGGCGTTGAGTACACCTTGAAGAAACAAAAAGATTTCGATTTCATATTGACTCAGTAAAGGTCATATGGCGATATTACGTGTGTAACTTTGAAAAATCAGTAATTGCCTTTATAGAGATTAAATAAATAATTACTGTGTTAATTATTTTAGCTTGACTTTAAAACTTCTTTCGTTGATGTCTGATCACTCTTTAAAGCGGGTTTGCCTGTTTCTAATGTCATATATGCATCACTTAACAAAAAGTTAGATCGCCCTGTGATATTACCCTTATGAGGGTTTATAACTTTATGACATAACAATATTACAATTGCTTGCGTGTAAAAAAGATCTTTTTGGAAAATCAAAAGTCTGTATTCTACTAACTTTTACCATGATCATTTGTCTGAAGAAGTTATCATAACATTTTAGCAAAAATGCCGAAATGTCTTTTTTTGATTCATAAATACAAATCATCCTTCAGAAAATTGCTAATGAAATTTTACTGAATGTTTGTGTCTCGTTTAAGAGAAGTTTTGGACGTTTCCGTACATTCATGGTCAGTTTTGAGCAATATCATGATAGATGAAACTTACTGCTACATGTTTCAGGTGTGAACTCAACATTGTCCAGCAAAATGTCTCCAATACCGTTGCCTTTTGTTGCAATGAATTGAATGTAGACGACTTCATGGTCGAGAGGTACATGGAATGCAAACCAATTATCTCCTTGATTACCATTAGCAACGAAATAATCACGTGACTCATTCTTCTTAAGAAGCTTTACCTATATATTAGGAATAGAACAATTCCGTGAGAAACATTCACTTTTCAGGTGTGTTACAATACAATATAATAATAAATTTGAAGTCGGCTGTGTACAAAAAAAACCAACTTTAGCTAGGTTTACCTATTTGAATGAGATTTTAGAAAGAGAAAGTAAACAAAGCAAATATATTGATTGCTTTATAAAATAACATCATTGTAAGGACTTTATATTAATTTTAAAAGGTTCTACGTTTAACAATACTTTATTTATTAACGTATAAATATATTTTAAGTTACAGACGCGATAGACAGTTTTGACATTGATTAATAATCTTGTAAGCTTCTATAATTTATAAAAGCTTACAAGACATCACAGTCTTGTTAAATATGAAGATTGATATGTTTTCCTCCAAAATTTGACATCTTCAAACCAGATACCTAAGAATTGATTGTTTAAAAATTTACCTGTGAATTTCCTACTCAGAACAGAAAGGCAATATTGCCGTAAGAATTACCTATTATCGGTAGCTTAACATGAAAATTAACTTTAAACATTCAAAACATTAAATAGATTTAATTTCAACAAAATTTTAGGATGATAAATACTTGTATTGATCCAGGATTATCTGTTCCATCTATCAAATACTGAAAGCGCAGGCATTTAATGTCGTCTGATTCCGTTAAATTGTCCGATTCGAGGATGGCCAGGTCACCTTCAGCAGACGACAAGTTGAAGGACGCCTTCATATAATATCCATCTACAAAACGAAAGCACTTATCTAATTGAAATCCAACACCACCATCAAAATCAGTGCCACCAAACCGATATGGTTTTTGTTCATACATGAGAAAATCACGGAGATTTTTTCTTATTTCTTGTGTGTATAATTATATCATTAATCAATTAAAAAAACAATGATCGAAAACTTATAGAAGTTATATAAATAACAGTACTTTAAATAAACAAAAAAAGTCAACAAAGAACTATTATTGGTACTTTTTTATGATATACATTCTGTAAATGATAATAATAATAATAATAATAATAATAATAATAATAATAATAATAATAATAATAATTGTTATAATATGATTATAGTAATAGATAACAATACAATTATAAGAAAAACAATACATATAATAATAACAATAATAAGTAATCATAACAATATTTATTGCAGTTTAAACGATAAGAAGAAAAAAAGAAGCACAAAAACCTACAACAGTAGTATATTTAAAAAAATAATGGCAAAACCCTTACTGTATAGTGAATATGTTAGCCTTGAAAATTCTTTTCTCCACGTAAAAGAAGCTGTGTCGTCTGCTAGTGAATGGTAACGTAAACTGCAATCATCTTCAAAATGGCAGTTTAAATGATCTGAAATATTTTCGAAGATGTTTGTAAACAACTTCATTTTCGCACAAGTTGCAAGTTGTTAGGAAAAGGCAAATGAGCCGCGTCATGACAAAACCAATATAATGGGTTTGCGACCAGTATGGATCCAGACAAGCCTGCGCATCCGCGCAGTCTGATCAGGATCCATGCTGTTCGCTATCAGTTTCTCTACTTGTTATAGGGTTTGTAAGCGAACAGCATGGATCCTGATCAGACTGCGCGGATGCGCAGGCTGGTCTGGATCCATGCTGGTCGCAAACGCACTATGTTGGTTTTGTCGTGACGCGGCTCAAATTTGCATTAAAACGTCTGAAATATTCTAGTAACTACCAAAGAATTTAATGAATTATTTCCAAAATCGATTTAAGTTTTACATAAGATATAATGAATGTTTTGCGATCGCCAATTTTATTTTAATTTGATGAGATCGAAGCTTCAAATATCTAAAGCATGCAATTGTTTGTTTTGAAGAAACGAATCACTTCAAACATTTTGGATCCTATCATGTTTTGGTAAATACTCGTATGTTTAAAAAAACAATCATATATACGATAATTATTTATTCAATTGGTACAGAACTACATATTTTTTTTTGAATAAATAAGTACACGTGATATAACCGCATTAAAGAGGCTTGTATTTTAGAACTTGAGAAGTTATAAAATGTGAATTCAAATATAATCTTACTCGTGCATAAGCACTTAAATTATGTTCTAGATGTTTCTTAACTTTCAATGTTTCAAGAAGTATTGACGTCGTAAGCGTTTGAAAATACTAAATAACAAATCTGTCAACCTGCATAATCACTTTAATTCTGAAGTAACACATTGATTTTAATAATGTGCGGATCATTAAAAAAGAGCAAATAAATCTACATTATGAAACAAAGATCAACAGACTGATAAAAGTTCACAGAACATAGACTCAATCGGAAACAAGTCACAAAAAAATCACCAGGAAGACATTCAGCAATGCATCGAAAAAACATTTCAATATTTATACGCTTTATATAATAAAGAAGACAAGGGTTGACCACAAAACTGTTCTTTCTTTCGTATAATTCACTGCAGTTTTGCGGTCAATATTCGAAGTTTTATGTCTAAATATACATACATGCACAGGGTGTGTGTGTCACTGTAATATCGTCGATAGCTAGAGAAGCAAACTTATGTTCTGACACATCTGCTTTATAGAAAAAAACAGCATTACTAACTTATACATATCATTTAAAAGCATTATCCTAAAAGATCAGTGTAGATATATTTGTTATAATGTTTAAAGAAGATCCAATGTAGATAATATCTTAAAAATCTATTCTCTTTATTTTGTTTACATACATGAATTTGAAAGTATCTCTGAGAGTAATAAGAAATGTGTTGTATATTTGACCTCTTGAAAAAAGAACCATGTCAAAATCCATTTAATTGTGTATGCAGCAAAATTCAAACAGAACATCCTCCTACTAACTAAAGATAGTTTTCTAAATATAAAGTGTACCTTTACCTTTGGACATGTCATTACCGAAATTTAGGACAAGTTGTTGAAATTTATAGTTTGAGATTGGTACACATGCCTCGAGCCATCCAGTACCTAGATTTTCAGGGATGTAAATTTCTTTCTCACCGACGCTGATAGACATATTCTAAAGCAAGTAAAGAGCAAATGTTAAGAACCGGTAACGCATGAAATCTACCTAAAATACAGGTATATTTGAAATTTATAGATTATTTTCAAGCACATAACTTCTGGATAAATATGACACACTTGTTGAAACATGTAACATGACCGATGTGTTTGTATTTTCCACTACCAATACTATAATAACTTAAGAAAAAAACAACAAAAAAAACCCCAAAAACAGACAAACCGAGTCTGAAATGTTCATGTAATTTTGTTGTGATTAATGCTTCCGAGGGATCATTTTGTTTACAGATTTTTTACTAGACATTGAAAGGCTGAGTTATATCTTGTCCTACTTGAACTGTAAATGGTAAGTCTTTGCCATCAGTTAAGAACATGGAACCCTACCAGGCTGGATTTTCGGACAGTCTTGTTGACTAACTAATGATTTTCATCATGATATCCAAAACATTCAAAATGGTCAGTTCCATATATTAAAGCTATAAAACTCCATTTATAAAATTAAACATGTTCATGGGGTAAACTCACAACTGATCGTGCGTGGTCAAGACCGTTATTAATTGCATAGTGAAATCGTAGGTATCCCATTCCTGCCAAATCCTCTGTTACATTGACAATTGGTAATGAAGAGCCTTCGTTGATAAGCAGAAAATGACCTGTAAAGCATTTATAATTCGGACTTGTTGTTTGTTTTGATAATATAATGCATGTTTTTTTAAACACCCCCAAAATTTTAATTTTAAAAATTAAAAACTTTTTATAATTAAATAAGGGGCCCAAGAAATGATTTTCATATCAGTATATTTAAAATGTGGTGGGTTTTAAAAAGGGGGCCTGCAAAATATTAAATTTTTGTTTTTTGTACTTTTTTATTTTTTCTTATTTTTTAATATATTTTTTCCCAAGGAACGGGCCCGACTCTCCAAAAATATTTTTTTTAACATTGTTTTTTCTTTTAAAACATACATATTCTAAACATTAAAAATCATTGTTAAATTTTTCAAAATTGAACAAAAATATCCCAAAAACTTCTGAAAATGAAAATTGTTTTCTGATGGGCAAAAGAAAGGCAACTGTAATAGTTAAAATCATTTAAAACTGGGAAAAAACCCATTAACAACTTACAATTTGCACATAAGAAATTTTAAAAAGTGAAATAAAGGGGGCATATGACTTTTACCATTAAAAGGGAAGTTTTTTAAAAATTTTAAACTTTACGGACATGTTTTCGAATATGGCCTACCATTAGACAATCCTGAAGTGTGATCTGCTTGTATCCAATCATCTCCACGTGAGAATGATTCACCGGATGTTATGGTCGTTGCTTGGATACCATTGTCCTCGTGCTGACATGCAATTGCCTCCATGTTCACAATATCTGCACATGCGTCAAGGTTTTCAAGGTCACAATGGACGCCGATATCATCTTCTGAAAAAAGGTTATAACTTTAACAATGATTTATTCTTATTTATGATACGACATGATTTATGTCATGTTACAAAAAAAGAATAATTTTATCAAAATATCGAAACTCTATATAATAAAGATCCTTTAAGAATAATTATACAAAGTGCAAACTCAAAATAGGATTTGTTGATCTTGTTTATCATATTTTGCCGAGGCTAGTAATGAATGTTTATGAAAATTGCGTTTAATTCCCGCAGCACGTTTTAAAGAAAGGTTTTAAAGGGTTTTTTAACCTAAAATGTTTTAAAAGTTATGTTTTCCGAAAAAACGGGCATGATATCCCCGAGAAAATCCGGTAAAATTTATTTCGGGCCTCGCAGAAAATTATTTTTTTTCTTTGTAAAAAATCAAAAATCAAAAATTTTGGATTTTCCCCGAAAAAAAAAGGAAAATCATTTGATGTTTAAAAAACATCAAGACAAAGAAAAAAGCTTCCCAAAGAACATGGGTAAAAAAAAATAGTGTTAAACCCGCGTATCCCTGTGTAAACTGTGCTATTCATTAGGTCTTCTCCAGAGGCATATTCTATAATAATTTGATAGGTATTGTCCGTCTGTCCTGGTGTTGGCAGAGATACACATCCTTTAAGATTCACAAAAATACATATTTCAGAATTGCATCTAACTTAACAAAAAATATTCCAAAAGTCGATACTTTTATGAAATAGATAAGAAGGAAATATTATAGAACGCTAAAACGGAAAATTGAACATGTTACAGGTTTCGGTTCAATTGTGCCGGTTCATGGACAGAAACGGTTAAGGCAATGTATCACCCACGCCCACTAGCACCGATTAAAGGTGAATATCAATTCTCTTTGAATGAATTTATATAATCCTTACAGTGAACTTACCATCAAACTGTCCATATGCCGCGTAATTCGCCCAACTCCATAAATCTTTAACTTCATTTGTCAGTCTGTTATGTAATTTTATGACCAGTTTTTCCCCGACAGCTCGCCGAATTGAATATTTAAAATGAATGTTTACTCCTTCAGAATACGAGAACTCGGGAGAAAGAAATTTTTCCGGTCCAAAGGTGTTTGAGGGTTTTGAAATAAAGTCCGTCAAAAAACAAACAAAAAAAACAAACAAAAAATTTTTATTAAAAATTCTAGTTTAAATTACTCTTTATGTTAGGTTTTTTAGCACTTATTTATTTTTTTTTCCCGGTTAAATAAAGAAGAACGTAAACGTAAAAAATTTTAAAATCATTAAAGTGAGGGGGTTTTCCCTTTAAATTTTAGTCATTTTTTTTGGGAAAACATTTAAAAAGTTCAGGACAGCTGATCTTACTTTTTTTTGGGAAATTCCAGCTTATGTATTATAAAAATTTTTGTATCTTAATTGTTTAAATCAATAACTTTTTAACAAAGGGAAATTTTTTTTTTAAGTGGAAAAATTGAAAATATACTTACATACCCTTGACACTGAATTTTTTTCCCCAAAACGCAAATCCCAAAGGCCTTGGGGAAAAACCCCCAAGTTTTTTTGTTGGCCTTTTTTGGTCTTTCTTTTTTATAATTTAATTTTTTTTTTTTTTTAAAATTAATTTTCATTATGTTTCAAAATTTTCCCGAAAAATTAAAAAAAAATTTTTTTTTTAAAAATTATTTAATTTAGAGGGAAATTTTTAAACTGCTTACTTAAAGAAAATAGGGAAACAAATAGGGAAAAAAAAAAAAAAAAAAGGCAAATTTTTTTAATATGTCTGGGCTCGGTTTGACTGCATGCATTCTTTTCAAATTTTTAAAGGTGAAAAGCAATTTAAATTGCAAGTCACTCCCTTACGCCCTACCCCCCTCCCCCCCCCCCAGCACCATTGGTAGTTAATCCAGCAAAATTTAGTCCGCGCATGACGTTTTTTGAATCACATTTCATTTTACCCGTCTGCCCCATGAGCCCAACCACGATGTGAACGACGT